TTGCTCGAGTCGTATCAAAAAAGTAGTGTACATAGCCAAAAACTGGTCTAAAAATTTTTTAAGAAAATATGAAAGTTGTGTTGCATTTTGTAATGAGCCCTTTATAAACCATACACCACTGATTACAATTTTATCGCAGCCTATCTTAAGTAACACTAATTACACAATATCACATTCTTCTGATTTATCATTGTCAGAACACAGCAGTGTCACATCTCTGATGCGTAATGAACCTTCATGTTCTGCTGGACATAAATCAAATTTAAAAACTAGGCAGACTTCAATAGAAAAATTGAGCCCTAGGAAGAAAATATTGACTAACCAGTTGTCTCATTAGCTAGCAATTAGCAAATTCTTCAATAGAAAATTGTAAGAAGATGGCTTCAATGAAAGCAAAATTATCCAGCCTGCCATAAAAATTAAAAATTCTAAGGCAAAGTGTTAAAAGAAAAGAAGATATTATAAAAGCTTTAAGAGCTCAGGTTAGAGACTTAAAACATAAAAACCAAACATATTATTATAGCAGGCAAATTTGCAATCTTATTGCATCAAAAAAAGCAATAAAAATTAAAGAGAGAAAAGTTTAGAAAGTTAGCTCTCAAACATAATGCTGCGATTAGAAAAAATAAAACGGATATTACTAGCTTAGAAGATAGTTTGACCCAAATGGACGAGGACAAGATAAGTATTACAAATACAACTGATCCATTAAAAATGAGAATGATAATATACTGCATGTTATTGTGCAATGTCCCAACAAGAAACATTCCATTTCTAGTAGGCAAAATTTCTTGCCATAGTACTAGTACTCTCACATTCCTTGCCGTAGTACTATTGAGCAAACGACTCGTGAGCTTGGCAGTATTGCTGATCTGCAGGCAGCTGAATGGACCATTAGTAATACTCATCTTACTCTTGGGTTTGACACAACTACACAAGAAGGTGTTCATATCAACAGTATTCACTTAACTTCAAATGATAAATGCCAGGTAATTGCTGTTGATCAATTACCAGGTGGGACAGCTGTGGATTATGCGAACCATATATGTAACGAAGTGGATCATACAGCTTTAGTATATTCAATCTTTCACTTGAAACCCTTTGAAGAATGTCGTCATATGGTCATCTCAAATATTTCAAACACAATGTTGGACAGAGTATCTGTTAACCATCTTACAATAAGAAAAATTGGTGAGACTTGGGGTAAAAGTCTGAATGAATTAAACTGTCATTTGCACCCTCTTGACACAATTGCCACATCGTGTCATTCAGCATTAAAGTCTCTAGAGCTTGATAGCTGCGAATTATATGGAAATGATTGTATAGCTGCAAAAATTGTTTTGGCTATGAATAAGATGAGGTTCAAAGATGGCAAATTTGATCCAAAGGGATTTGTTAATTTTTTAGACAATAATAAACTACCACAAGGTATCATTCCAAGGTATCGTGGAAATCGCCTTCACATTCTGTTCCACACTTGTTTTATTTTTATAAAACATTATAGCAAATTTTTACATTTTTTAACTATAGGAACAGTAAAAATAAAAACTTTACAAAGGGTTCTGCGAGTAGCATTTTGTAATACAACTGCTATAAAGCAAATGTGTCTACTTGCTTTATTTGGAAAACTTCTTACAGGGCCGTGGATGACAATGTTTTATGTGTCATCTGAGAAAGCATATTTTGATCATGTTGGTGGTATCCAGACTGTTAAAAATGTTGTGCAAACAATTAAAGACTGCAAATGCGATCCAGCTGCAATATTTTGCAGAACAACAGATTTTTTTGGAAATGCTCTCAAAGCAAATGTGTTAGAACCATTAACAAAAATATGTAGAATTGATGACGAGCTCATTGCCATGATCTTGGCTTGCCTCAATGCAATAGAAGTGGTTTTAAATCGACAGTATAAGCGCTATTTTTCCATTACCATTACAGAAGCACTTAAAAAAGAAACAGCTAATGCAAGGCTTCATAACATAGATAGTGAAGAGTTAATGGGAATGTTCAGTGCTGCAAAAGGAAGATCTCCTAATGCATCTATTGATTACATATCTTGAAAATTACGAACCAAAAAGAATGGGACAATGGATTATCTGGATAATCTTGATGACTTTTCTAGAAAAATGGTAGTTCAGTGGTCTTTTCAGGCAGCACGTAAAAAACGAATAAAAACTCAACTACAACATACTGAAATTAGAGCTGAGATTTCTAAAAGACAGACTATAAAGCGCCGAAATATCGATGAAAAAGAAAAAAGAAAGTTAGAGCAACATTTAACATTGTTAACTATCAGTGAAATTCTGAATTTGTTTAAAAACTTATCTACTAAGCAAATTGATGATTTAAATGATGTTATGTGTGAAAGAATTGTTAGGAGAAATCTTTGCCATGAATGGTATGATTCCGATAGAGCAATGACAGTCTTGTATAATGGCAGAGTAGAAAAACTTAAAAAAGCACAGAAAGGCATTGTATACACTATTTCTTATTGGACTAGAGAAGAAAATGATACGGAAGCAGTTGATTATTATATGAAAAAATTCCAACTAGTTGCTGACATTGTATCCGGTGAGTTGATGTTTTCCTAATGTAAATATGTTGCATTTATTTTTTTATAATTAAAAATGCATTTTATTATCTTACTTCTTTATTTTACTATTTTTTGACTCTCTCTCTCTCTCTCTCTCTCTCTCTCTCTCTCTCTCTCTCTCTCTCTCTCTCTCTCTCTCTCTATATATATATATATATATATATATATATATATATATATATATATATATATATATATATATATATATATATATATATATATATATATATATATATATATATATATATATATATATATATATATATATATATATATATATACATATATATATATATATATATATATATATATATATACATATATATATATATATACATATATATATATATATATATATATATATATATATATATATATATATATATATGTATATATATATATATATATATATATATATATATATACATATATATATACATATATATATATATATATATATATATATATATATATATATATATATATATATATATATATATATATATATATAGAGAGAGAGAGAGAGAGAGAGAGATAGAGAGTCAAAAAATAGTAAAATAAAGTAGTAAGATAATAAAATGCATTTTTAATTATAAAAAAATAAATGCAACATATTTACATTAGGAAAACATCAACTGTATGTATATATATCAATAATATGCAAATCTATATATATCAATAATGTGCAAATGTACAGCAAGAAGTGGCACTTGCAAAAAAAAAATATAGCGAGTAGTGGAACTTGCTAAAAAAAAAAAAATAGCAAGTAGTGGAACTTGCAAAAAAAAATATAGCAAGTAGTGGAACTTGCAAAAAAATATATAGCAAGTAGTGGAACTTGCAAAAAAAAATATAGCGAGTAGTGGAACTTGCAAAAAAATATATAGCGAGTGGTGGAACTTGCTAAAAAAAAAAAAATAGCAAGTAGTGGAACTTGCAAAAAAAAATATAGCAAGTAGTGGAACTTGCAAAAAAAAATATAGCAAGTAGTGGAAGTTGCAAAAAAAAAATATAGCGAGTAGTGGAACTTGCAAAAACAAAATATAGCGAGTAGTGGAACTTGCAAAAAAAAATATAGCAAATAGTGGAACTTGCAAAAAAAATATATAGCGAGTAGTGAAACTTGCAAAAAAAAATATAGCAAGTAGTGGAACTTGCAAAAAATATATATAGCGAGTAGTGGAACTTGCAAAAAAAATATATAGCGAGTAGTGGAACTTGCATAAAATATATATAGCGAGTAGTAGAACTTGCAATTTTTTTTGATAGACGGCTCTGGCTTACATTCACGTCGTGTCTATTGTTAACAATGATTAATATATAGTTTCATTAATGGAATTTAATATCTTAATCATTAACTAAAAGCGAAGACGCAAACCAATTAGAATAATATTATAAAATTTTTTTTGTTTTTAAAATTCTTTTTTAGGTCAGAGGGGGAACCATCTATAACTATCACAAAGCATTGTGTGATGTATTTTGAGTTTTGGTAAAAGATGTTTTAAAATTAAAGTGTTTATTTTAATTGCATTTAAATATTTTTTCGAATCTCATTAGAAATAGCTTCTTTTTTTTTAAGTTGTCAAAAAAAAAGAAAGGAGGGGGGGGGGGGGCAACAACACCCCTCCTCCCCCATCTATACCCCTTGAAACAAAGGGTGCGCTGCTAGTGATTTTGTAAAGTAGTAAAATATAATTTTTGATTTGAATACTAGATTTCTTTTTAATTATAAAGATAAATATTTTAAATATTTATATAAAGAGTCATTTTTGATAATAGCGTGTATGAAACCATCACCCTTACATCCACCCAAAGGCAATGATGAGTCTTCTATATTTGATTGTGAACTAATAGCTAATTACAAAAACATCTTGCATCTAAAAATTTACATTTTCATTTAAAAAAAAAACACTTTTTTATAAATATAGTAAGTCTTTATTGCCGGTAAGGATTGTGGTTTTGTGCCCCCTCTTTTAACCCCTGGAGCGCCCATTATTTAGAAACTTTTATAAATTTGTATCTATCTTTTGATACCAAGATATAAATATTTGGATAAGAATTGGTTAAGTTATAATAGTTTTAGTTAATAAAAACTTTATTTTGACCACAGTTTCTTCAACAAATCCTAATATCAAAAAATCGGTACTTAAAACGTCATAACTTTTTGTAGGGTGGTTCAATTTTAAAAATTTCACTTTTAGAATATTGACATTAAGCTCTTTTTAATGATATATAACAACCTATAATTTGATGAATTTAAAATTTTCATGTGACATACCTACATATATATTTTATCAAGGAGAATATATATATATACATATATATTCTCCTTGATAACATATGAAGATGATTGTAAGATGATAACATATGAAGATGCTATTATTATCATGGACACAAAAAAATTTACCTGACTTCATCATTTTGGAAACAAATCCATTTGAAGTTTCATTAACAACATCATTTGGTGAACTTGTTTTTAATTTCTTTAGTTCAGGGAAATCTTTAAGTTTGAAAGCTCCATTAACTTTTTCTTTTCTTCGAAATGCATAATAAAATATCAAACTAAGAAAAGATATCAACAATAAGGAATCAATAAATCCCAAACCATAAACGTCTGTAACTTCCATATTGATAGATTTAAATGGACAAAAAATATAATTTCTTTAACGTATGAACCACTTGAAGCAATGATGTTTTAAAAAAACTATTTTTTATAGTTAAAAAATATTTGCTTTAACTAACAAGCTGTCATAAGTTTTTTTTACTTCTCAAACGCTAGGGGCAGGCTAAAACAAAAAACACAGGTAACCCCAAGAATTTAAAAGAAAACGCCGACTTGGTTCCTCTGTTTGCGTAACGCAATATTTTCAAACTGATTATTGCATTAAGTCATAACTGTTTACGTAATCATTTAACGTAAATACATTTAACGAATTTAACATAAACGAAAGTTTCATCGCTTTAACATAAATGAAACGAGTTTAACATAAATGAAACGAGTTTCATCGCTTAAATAACGGAAAATTTGTAGTGTAGCTTCTTTGTATCAAATCAAAAATTTGTATCAAATTAAAAATTGACGTAATTTTATAGGAATCTGGAAATTTGACAAACTGTTGACAAGGGGGATGGGGGAGGGAAAAATTTCAAAAAATTTGTTGACGTAATTAATGGACAGCCCCATACATTTGATTTTGGCCTGATTTTAAGTTGTTCTCGATCACTGTGTGAAGGCGTAAATTGAAAAAAAATTTTCGGTATAATATAATAAATCTATTTTATATTTCTAATATATTTGATGTCGATTAAAAAAATTTATGCTTCTTAAGGATGTTTCATGTTCAGGCGCGGACTGGCCCACCGGGAAACCGGGAAATTTCCCGGTGCGCCCCACCATCCTTGGCGCCCCTCCCCTCCAAATCATAAGTTGTATATCTCCATAATACGACATGTTACATATAATTAATAACTATAACACCATTTAGTGTTATTGCTTCAAGTGCAAATTCATGAACCTTCACTTTCTCACAATACAATTGAAGCATCATTTATATCAGGGGCGAATTCAGAAATATTTTAGGGGAGGACAGAAAAATATTTTTTAACTTTTTAACAAATACTCACGTGAATTAGTTTTTCTCATGCTGTTTACTTTATGATAGTTTAAAATAAACCCAAAAGAACTCATCATTATGTAAGTCTAGGAGAAAGTCTAGCGGTGCCAAAAGAAGACAACAATAGAAGATGCGTGATTTGCTTTAATCAAGCCGTAATCCTAAACAACGCAAGCTGCTATTTAATAATGAACATATTATCAATGTTGTTGAAGAAGCATCTGTTCCCGCGTCAAACCCAGTGTTAATTAAGAAAAAAGCTTTTTTGTGGAATATAACGCCTAACGTAACCATTGAAGCAAGTAGCGTGTCAAATACAGTGCCCTTCAGTCCTAAACAAGATAAGCAATCAGATTTTACCATTAGCAAACTGCCCGTAAAAACTGTAACAGACTGTACGTCAGAACTCGTTACAGTTGTTCCCGAAGGAAGTATATACAATGTGTATATAGAAATAACAAAAGATGATGCTAACTCAAGTATTCTCAACCATAAATATCAGTGTACCGAAACAACAAAATTGATTTATAAACGGTTTCCTGACAGTGCACAGCGTAACCAAAGAATAGCATTAGTAAATAATAACATGATTCAGCCGAACCATACAGATGTAAAGCATTTACCGTATGATCCAAAAAGAGTGTACCAAAGATTAATATCAGATAATAAGTATGTAAAAATACGTTAGATAACCTCAAGATATAAAGACAATCAAATCGTGGCACTTTACTGCAATGCATGCATGGCATTTTTGAAAGAAGATTCTAGTTTTACTCTTGGATTTAAAAAGTTCTCCTATATATACCAAAGAATCAAAGACCATGAAGAATCTAAATCACATAATGCTGCTGTAATTGCACTATTAAGTTGTACAACAGAGAAAGATATAAGCTCTTTAATCAAAAAAGATATAGTGGAAAAGCAGAAAGCGCAAGTATTGAAAAACATTAAAGTATTTAAACGAAGTTATGCAGCACTTATTTTTATTGGGAAGCAAGCTCTTCCATTCAGAGATAATCGGGGTAAATCTCTCTACAGTTTACACGATAAATCTATTGATTACGGAAACTTTTTGAAACTAATATTGCTGATAGCATAGTTTGACGTGCCTCTTAATAATCATATAGAAAAAGCTATTTAGGCAAGTCAAAAAAGGAAAGATTGTTTGATGCGTAAAGGAACGTAGACGTGTAGGCTTGGTAACAATGTTGTCAAAGACTACATTTAGCAGTATTCTAGCTGCTATTTCAAACTTGATGAAGAATTGTATAATCAAGGAAATTGGTAATCAGAAGTTCAGTGTTCAAATGGATGGTAGTCAAGATGCGTTGATGAATGATCAGGAGACAATAATCTTACGATATGCACTTGGAGAGGACGTGAAAAAGCGATTATTTGCGGTAAAAAATTACTGATGCAACAGGTGCAGGACTATTCCAACTATTGAAATCAGAGCTTGAACACAATGGTTTAAAAATGGAAAAAATTGTGGGTGAATCCTTTGATGGAGCAGCAAACATGCGTGGTGAATATCATGGAGTTCAACTTACATTAACGACGTTTCACCAAATGCTGTATACATGTGGTGCTACGCGCACGTTCTAAGTTTGTTTGCAACAGATATTGTGGAAAATATATTAGCTTTCAAAAATTTAATTGGTCTCTTGCAAAGTACAGCAACTTACTTTGGCGATTCTTACAAACGAATAAACGCTCATTCGTTTGTAAGAATCGCCAAAGACGGATATTCACATTGGACAAGGAGTTGGATCTGCGAAACTGAAAAGACTGCAAAAAATTGGTGAAACACGTTGGTGGTCAAAACAGATGGCGCTTGAACGAATTTTAGAATTTATGATGCTCCACAAGTGGAATCTTTCTATACTCTTTTGCAAATTCTTAATTGTATGACGATGTCTTCAAGATTCGATGCAAAATCAACATTCGGAGCCACGGCACTGCATGACAAATGGTGTTGATTCGATGTGCTTCTTGCAGCTTTTCTTCTTCTGCGTGTGTACACCGTTTTGCGACAAGCATCCGAATATTTGCAAACAAAAAGTCTGGATTAAATAATTGCGTGGAATATGGTAGAGTCAGCAAAACAAGAACTGCAGACAATATTGTTCGAAGATGTCCATTCCAAGACAATTGAATTTGTTAAAATAATCAATACCCTCCTAGATGCTAGTGAACTTGATTCAGATGTTGAAACAGAATTGCGTCTAGAACGAGTTCATCAAAAGAAACGTATGGCAGGGGAACTCGCCTTTGATGACATACAAGAGAATCCTCTTGATCGTTTCAGAATGGATGTTTTCTGTAGAGTAATTGATCTGATTATCGCTAGCATAGATGAACGTTTCATTAGGAGATTGTAGTCAGTTACAGTATAAATACCAGATAAAGGACAGGGTCCATTTTTATTTTATTTTTTATTTTAAATGATTTAAAAAGAGGTTTATTATTCATTTATCATAATAAATTCTTCGTGTTATTATTATTATTGTTATTATTTATTATTGTTATTATTATTATTGCTATTATTATTATAAGTACTATTATTGCTATTATTATTATTGCTATTATTATCATTATTATTATTATTATTATTATTATTATTATTATTATTATTATTATTATTATTATTATATTGTGATCATTATTATATTTTTATATATATATACTTTCACTACTACATATTAGTTACAATTTTTTTCACATCATAATATAAGCAGAATATACTTTCGTCACGAAAAATTATATTTAACCAAATACTGCTAGAATATATCTAACAAAAAAAAAAAAAAAAAAAAATAACACTTAGTTAACAAAATATTTTAAATATTATTGTGATAAAATTTTGTTTTGTTTTTTCCATTTGTATTATGATTTGTGTGTGTGTATTTATATATTTAAATCGATAACAGAATATACAGTTACTTTAAGTCCTTCGTATGTTTGCCAAAAGAAAAAATTCTTGTTTTGGCATTGTTGGAAATGTTACCAGGACAATTAATGATATGCTCTTTCCATTTTTCTTAAAACCATTCAAACTTATTCTCTACCCATGTCAAACTTATTCTCTACCCATGTCAAACTTATTCTCTACCATGTCAAACTTATTCTCTACCATGTCAAACTTATTCTCTACCCATGTCAAACTTATTCTCTACCCATGTCAAACTTATTCTCTACCCATGTCAAACGCTCGTTATTAACAGTATGGCAATTAAAATGGTTTACGTTTCATGATTCCTTCACTGCTGTTATGCACATTTAAACAATCAAAAAATCATCTAACATTACACAAAATTTTGCAGTTCCATTTGCATCATCTGGGAAATAATTTTCTTAAATGTCACTTTGGTATAACTTTTAAGCCATTTTTCATTTCGTCATTGATTATTCTTGTGATATGGTACCAAATCAACTGTTGTTCATCATTCTCAAGACTTCGTGTAACCCGGCCATCTCCTGAATAAAAAAAGATTGAAATTTAATATAACACAAATTTTTGTAAGTTTAATAATGCAAGGAGTAACGGCCAATGTGCCTAGATTGCTTTATCCAACATCTTTATAATAATTTATGTTTTCACAGATTATGGTTGTAAGCTAGCCCACAAATTCAGCCCTCAATCTAGGGAGGTTTAAAACATTGCATAGCCCTTCTAATCTAAACTTTATCAGCAAGCATTAGAACCTTTTTAATATAAAAACCTGTTATTTTATTATTATTTAGAGCAAGAAATAGCCATAACCTAGTGATTTCTAACTAAAAAGGCTTGTAAACCAATGCATAATAAATATAACTAACATACCTGGGTGATATAAACAGTTCTTGCTGTTTTAATGAGATAGGAAGCATCAGCAAAAAACTATAAGTATTGCATAAATATTAATGCATCAATGAAAAAACATTACAACCTAATTTGTCATTAAATACTCTATGCATTCGATAGAACTTCTATCGCGATAGAAGTTCTATCGAATCAGCATCGACATTGCGATGCTGATTATAGACGTTTTGGATTAAAGCTAAATGGATTTAAAGAACTTTAGGGGCCAGAGCTATGATAATGTGGCTAATATGTTCGGTGTGTACAAAAGCCATCATTCCCGAAAAAAATCATCAAGCTTTGTTAATGCCTTGCAGTGCATATAGTCTCAATCTAGTTGGCGTTCGTTCCGCAGAATCTACTACTGTAGTCAAGAACTCTTTTGGCA